AAAGCTGGGTGGGTGGATGGGGATAAATGCTAGATGGAAGGGAAGATAAATAAACATTTCCTACAAAACATTTGGGTTTTAATAGGATTTTAAAAGAGGAGGGACTCAATATATTGATTATCAATGTCTTTCAGTACTGATTTTAAATCCATTCCCATCATAACCTTTCCATCTTTGATAAGATATTCTTAAAAATCTGGTCTCATTATTATTATCCACAGAAAAGGTATTTTTTCTATTTCTAAAAARTTTATTCTTATCACTCATACTTTAATATGGAAAAAGCCTGAAAAAAACTCAAATTAAAAGTCAGCACTGGAGTATAAAACACCAACTATATGCACTTTTCACTATCATTGATGTGTAACAATTCTAACTGACAGCAATCTGCCTTTATAAAAATAAGGATAAATAAGAAAGTGAATAAACAAAAAACAGAAGATTAATATTAGGAATATAAAATAACTACTGTGAATGAAGGTGCTTGCAGCTAAGGCACCAGTGCTTATTACCACTTAGGAAGCAGCAGATGCTCAGGCACTAGATGTCCAGGCATCTTCCTCACTGGCAACACACTAAACCTCTTAAAAACCTCTGGAAGACCAATTAAAACAAGTCTTCAGGTCTGTAATTGAACAATATGAGAATACAACTTTCAAAATAAGCACCTCTGACATGACACACAGAGAATAACTGCTCTAACCAATCCTTCTTTCAGCTGGCTTGGACAATCTTATAAGCAGAAGTGAAGGAGCAGGTGCCTATTTGTGAAGAACAATATCAAGAAGGTAAGTAAATGCCCTCAAGGAACCAGTGAAAGTCAGATTCATAGTCTCAAGGAAGGCACTGGAAACAAGAAAAAAAAAAGATCAACAGTATTTCATTAGCCAAAAGCCACAACAGGCTGGCTGGAATGCAAAAATAAAACAAAATAAAATAAAATAAAAGGAAATATGAAATTTGCAGGGGAAAAAACCTAAGGATATGATAGAGACCGTATAAACATCAGTAAGTATGTCCAAAACAATCTGTGCTCTTATTAATCATAATTCTACAATGATAAAAAGACGGTCTTTTGGARTGAAAACAGTCATCACTGTCACATGCTCCATTATGGAAAGGATTTATGTGGTTTCCTCTTAGCAATGTAAACCAAGGCTTGATAAGTTCCACGTGCTCTGCTTTTCAAAGCCCTCTTATGGCAACGACTGGGCACTACAGCGCTAACCCACACTGAAAAACAGCAAGAAATACTGSAAGAAAGGAGTTTTGCTCCACAGTGTTTTAATATCACAAAAAGCAGAAAGTTAAACAGAACAAAGAATAGTTGCTTTAATACAGAACTGAATTTTGGGGTCATATACCTTTGCTTTAATGTTGGCAACTTTACACCAAAATATCTTGTACCTTGCAAAATTATAATCACATTGCATTTACAGCAAATCCCCACTTCTCAKCTCAAAATATAGTTCTGTATTTGAAGAAAAATTTGGAATCTAAGCCCATATTAATAGTTCTGAGGCAAATTTGTACCACTTTAATGCTTTTTATGACCTTTACTTTAAATCAAGGATCTCTTCAGGGACATTGGTAGTTACAGTCTCCWATGAAAAATGCTAAAAATACACCTTTATCTCTCTGATTTCAAGTGGATAAAAGGCCATGGGTACTCATCACTGCTGCATTAATTTTCATTTGTTTTGCTTAAACAAGAAAGGTTTCATTTCCATCAATGGTCTCATTAGTACAGACTTACTTGTATCTGTGGTATAAGAAGTGCTCCATAAAACCAAATTTTATTTCRCATCAGTCAAGACTTTTCATGCTAGCATTTCATGCACAAATAYAACACCACATGCCTTTGAACCTGCTCACCTTTTTCTTATTTACTTGTAGAAATAGCCTGTCCACCTGCTCAAAAAGACACCAGAGGGTTGATTTACAGGACACACTGATAGATTCAGACTTTCCTAATGACCAAATGTAAGGAACCTACACTTTTATCTTGGCATCACCATCAGGCCACTTTAAAGAGGAACTGAAGTTCCTCTACACATTTTACAAGACTCTTTCAAAATGAGCACAATTTCCATTTCTCAACTGGCATGTTTTCAAGGCAATCCCTCTTGAGCCATAACAAATAAGAAGAAACATGAAAGAATATAACAAAAAAAAAAGGCTACCATGAGATCTAAGATTACATCATGTTCTACAGTTTTTAAATATGCACCCACTAAAAAGAGATCTACAGTTTGGGGGTCAGCATTTCAGTGTAAGTAGTCAGAAGTCTGTTGGTTGCAATACTACTTGTTACAGCACAAAATAGTAAATGATCACCTGTAAATTGTTCTTTAGGTGGGACTTTTATAACATGGAGAGATGCAAACATGGAAGTGTGAATTTTGGCTGTGAATTTAACTAAAATTTGTGAATTTAACTAAAAAAGGAATAGTAAAAATGTACTATAAAAGCAGAGCCTTCTTTCTCCTCTATAGACTTTCAACACCACCTTTATCAAACCACACAGCTAATGAAACAGAGAGTTTTTCTCATAGAAAGGTTTGGGTTTGGGGACCTCTAAAAGTCACCTAGTCCAATCCCCCTGCAATGAACATGGACTTCTTCAACTAGRTCAGATTATTTAGTTCCCCATTTAATCTGACCCTCAATGTTTCCAGCTATGGGACACCCACCACCTCTCTGGGCAACCTGCTCCAGTGTTTCACCAACCTCATCACGAAAAATGTCTTCCTTATATCTAGTCTGAATCGATTCTACTTCAATTTAAAACCAGAATCTGCAAATGCCCCTGGGCAAGCATGATGATTTTGTATCTTTAATGCTATGGATAAACTTTATCATTCCCTAAATTCTCCCTTGCATTCTTCATTGAAATCCTTAAATTGATTCTTAATCCCACAAAATGGGAAGAACTTTCTTGGAGACAGTTCCTGATCACAAAGAAAAGTGTGTATCCCTGCTGTGTCCCAGCAAGCAAAGAGAGGATCCAGAAGAGCACTTGGGGCAGGGAGAGGGACTTCTTCAAGCTGGCATGTCCTCAAGGGMTAAAAGGTAAATCATGATTATAAATTCACATGCTCTTACTGTAGCTAACAGAGCACCCCAGGACTCCCAGTCCCAAAGGACCTGAAAGCTGTGCAGGGAGACCGCAGACAGAACAGCTCTCTGCATGAGATGCTCAAMTGCAGCCCCTCGTGTGTTTCTTTACAAGAACATTTTAATGTCCGCTCTGAAACACACCAGCTGCAACAACTAAACAAAATATAGAAAAACTGAGTAATTCCACACCAGTTTTCCTTTTTTGGTCTCTTTTTTAATGCTTTATGGTTATGACATTTGGTTTTTTAAACTGGGTCCTTACTGCATATAGTRTTTTACGCCTGTAAAGAATAATTACTTGAAGAGAGAATGTTGAAAAAAACCCAGATCACTGGCCCCTGTCCTGTTTGAACTAAGTCAATTTTCCGTGCATTTAAATCATATTAAATTTAACTCCAGGAAGTTTAAACTGTCAATAACTCAAAATACATCCTGTTAGATAGGGCAGACACTTGATTCTCCTGATTGTTTGACTCTTGCTGAAACATACCTGTAACTCATTTCAAAATAATCACTGTTTAAAAAACAGGGTAGATTGTCCATGTTCAGAAAAATAAATGTTTCATAAATGAAAAAACAAATTTGTCTTTTTAATTCACGCTTACCTTGCAATTCTAGCTCAGATATACTGTTTTATTCCACTGAACAAACATTACTGAAATAACTCTACCAAGACCCCATCAGCAAAGACTGGTTTTTTTTCCATATGGAAAAAATACTGGTATCATTTTCCATATGTCTTTGCTTACTTTCAGTTCTAAATATAAAAACATTGCAAACAGAAACAGGCATAGAAGAGTTAGCRAATCCTGCAAGAGCCAAAACCTGGACAGAAACGCAACATTGTAAGGCAAACAGGTTTGGACTCAAAATGAAATTCCAAGATTCTGAGTGCTATAGGAAGCAGCTGCTAAACTCAAAAGACATCAGTRCATTTTCATCAAATTTTGCTTGGTTGTTTTTTAAATTTTGTCTGGTTCTGTTGTTCTTCTTSTTGTTTTTTCAAGTGTTCACAGAAAATTAACTTGCTGTTTTGACAGCCCTAGTATGTAAAGCATGGACGAAAGAGCAACTGTATACATTAAAAGGCTGCTTCCCACTTCCAGCCAAACAAGAGCAAATATGTTCCTGAAACCCAGCCAAGCAGCTGTATTCCAAAAAGGTTCTGTTTTACTCTTAATTTGGAAACAAAGGAGACGGCTTTGCAATGTATTATTTGCATTACTCTAATAATCTAGAAACCAGATTGTGTGCCTGTACATATATATATACATACMTATGACTGTAATTTGGCTGACTAGACTGAATCATCATATTTTCAGCTGTTTTAGTAACAGACCTTTGTTTAATTGCAACAAAGGGAAAAAGTTGCCATTAAACATTTCAACAAAGACAAAAGTTACACGTCATCTTCAAGTAAGGGAAAGAAAGAGCTTTGGCTTCAAACTGCGGGCTGTCTGGCTGCTTGTGCTTCATGCAAYACATGGCAATTCACAGACAGGACACACAGCTTCAGAACAAATGAATTCGTAGTCAGCTCTCACTAAGGATTCAATGCTGACAGATCCTCAGTAACTGCAGTGTCAATAAAATGCCTCTAACTCCACTGCACTCTTCAGATTTTACAAAGGTGTTTTTACTTCCCCAGGAGCATCCCCCATTTGCACAGACCCTACTTCATGGTAGTTTTTCTCAAGCTTGAGTAAGCCCTGAGAGCAGAGAGAAAAACCTCTGTTTCACTTAAAGTCTGGTCAACTTTCATCACTCTTCTGTAGCTAGAAAATACTCAGAAGAAAGACAGAGGGGCCAGATGTCTCTGTAGTCAGCTTGTTAGACACTGTAGAAAAGTTATTACTGAAAGAACACTTGAAGGAACTTACCAGTAGAGAAAACAAAAACGGTGTTGTTCCAAAGACCGTATGCTTTCAGAGCATCAGTAAKATTTCCTACCGCTTCATCCATAAGAGTTACCATTCCTGCATAATGGCGCCTTTTAACATCTTCTATGGAAGAATATGGTTTCAGGTATTCTTCAGGGACCTCGAGAGGTTCATGCACAGACTGAAAGGCGAGGTAGAGAAAGAGGGGCTGGGACAGAAAGGACAGAAAGGAAATTAGACTAACATAAAGTACTAAGTGCAAAACCTACTTCAGCAAAAAGCAGATCTGCTTTATCAACAGTGCAAGTAGTGTGTTTTGATTTCTCCTACAACTTCTACATCTTCTAATCTCTGCACATAAACTAAGAAATCTTTGAAAAATTACTTTTGAAAATCTGTGGAAAAACATCAGGTGTGCCTTCACTTCATAACACAATTGTTAACAACTTGTTTTTACTAAACTTCTCCCCTTATACTTAGCCTTCTCTTTCTAGAAGTGCAAAGTACTTGCTAAGCCATTTCCAAAAACTTATTAATTGTATTATAATAAAAGATATGGAGATGGGTAGCAGACCAAAACCATGCAATCAAAGCTGATTTTGGCAGCAGACAAGTTTTACCAGTGCTTTTTTCACATTTAGGTCCATGTACCCACTGAACAGTCCCAAATTACAGCTCAAACATACCTCTCTATTAATATTTCATTAATGTTTTTTACAACATTCTTTAATGTTGAAGTGACCAGAGCAGCAGCCATTGACTGTACCTTCTCAGTTTTGTGATTGGCTATAAGATCTATAGCTCTTTCTGTGAATAAATTTGTGGAGTACACATTTTTAAATCCAGTTGCCACTTCCTCTCCATCCCGAAAGTCCAGAGCACAGCGCGTCACGTTTTTTGTTTTGATAAGGACACAGCGGTCATGAGTGTAGTAATCCTCACTGCCCAGGAGATAGCCTAGAACAGGAAAAAGCATCAAATGAGAAGTCCAACATCATGTCACATAAATACATACATCAGGGGGAGAAAAAATGTTTAACATAAATGCCAAAACAGTAGTGGTTTTGAGCTAAAACACTAATTCAACCCTGGACCATCCACTGTGACATCCCTGACAGGTCACATTTAGGCTAAAGTAGGTCCACATTTAATACCTCTCAGCTTTTCACTGCTAATGCAAGCAGTAATTTTGAAAGAAATTAAACACTCTCAAAGCCTTTCAATGACTTATTATTTAGGTTTTATGTTCATTAGCATTAAACTAATGCACTGAGAACAATGACAGTGATCTAGCCATGTACTAGTCTGATTCCTGGTGGTGTGATTTTTTTAAGTTTGTAGTTTGATGTGAGACTTCCATCTCTATTAGAAAGTTTGGAGTTTTTAAAATTCATTTATTCAAAAACATCCAAGTAAGAATCAACTCTTATGATTGCAGAATCATAAGAGATGTAGAAATGCGGGACTACCTCATGTCTGCTCTAAAGGCATTTCTGATCCACTGCTGACACCAGCTGGTGAAAAAAGACATTATCATTAAGAGACATCCAAAACTAATAAAATAAAAATAAGACAGGTATAGATTTGGTCATATCTTGGACTGGCCTGTTAAGCACTGAGAGCCCTTGTGTTTTAGCAATCACAGACAAAACTTTTCCAAATCACTTGAATCCCAAAAATTACACTTGAAATTAAATTTTGGATTTCTCCCCCAATACCATGAAAAAACAGATGAATATGAAAAAATACAGATTGTTTGTTCTGCAAATAAAAACTTGGGACAAAAATCCAAGATGGAAGAACTTCACTTGAATTTTTATTAAGCAGGTTCAGCTATTTATTTCTGCAAAAACATAGATACAAGGAAAATGAAGTTGTCTTAAATACAATACAAACGTCTACAGTATTTTTAGGAGGAAAATAATTACTATCCTTTCAAAAGATGAAGTGATTTTATGGGCAGACTGTTTACATCAATGTACTCAGAGGCACATGTTGCATTTTTTSCATTTTGAATGCCCACTGGAGGAAACTCTACATCAAGTGTACCATGGAATCAAACGCCCCTAATCATATCCAATGTCTACTGGAATAACATGAACATTGTAGGATTAAACCATTATATCCCCTGAAAAATAAGGTCACATTGGGCACCCAACAACCATATCCAGAGCCAGACTGTCTTTAGGCTCCTGCATTAAGAGCCTGCTCAGCCCTCGAGTGAGGTTTCACAAAGAACAGCACCCTATCCTCACCTATGCCAGGAAAAAGATCCCAAGATCCTGWGAAGGGATGGGAGAAAGCACAAACGTTTAAACCATGAGCTGTTACATTCTGACCCAGGTGTATTAGCTTAATTCAGATGCAAAACTAAGGCCCTGAGCTCCCTGAAGAGTGCAAAGAGATACACTATCCAAGGGAAGAGTTTTTCCCACCTAACATTTGCACCAACATCATTCATCAAGGGCACACCCATACCACAGTCACGCTCTTCCTTTAAGCCTGAGGTGAGACAAAAGCAAGGCAGGCTTCTGCACTTAAATGAATTATTTTGAAATTCACTGTTCAAGGAAAGTGTTTTAAAAACCAGGTGGAGATGGACCTCTTYGAGCTCCGTGCTGTGTAGAGTGAGATGTATAGCAGACAGCCCAAGTCATGTAACATCCATGACACTTATGCAAAACTAATACGTATGGAATCGACTATGGAACAAGAGCCCAAATTGCAAGAGGAACAATAAACAATGAGCAGCTACAAGTTATTCTGCAAGCAATGCACTCACACTAGGACAATCTATTTTTTAGCCTGAGAGCTCAACTTCATAACTTCGGAGTTTTTGGATACTCCTTTATAGAGACTTTCACACCATCTTGTTATCAGCTCTGGAAAATCAGTGCTACACAAAAACTGGCTGTAGGCCCACTCCCTATCTCCCCTCTGTTGCTGTAGGTAGGATACAGAGAACTGGGAATAAAGTCAAGTTTGGGAAGGAGGGAGGGGTGAGGGAAGATGGTAAGAGAGAAATACCTCATTTCGACCCATACAATAACTCCAGTACTTTCTTATGCAAGCTGTAAACCTTGAGCATACATTTAAGGCATTATCATATTTTAAGCAGTGATACTTCAGAAATATGCATACCCAGGTATTGGTTTACTTACAAACTAACAGTAAATCTGCTGTTCTTACAAGAATGGGACACTTGCTCACCCTTTTTCAACCAATTGAACTGATTGCCCATGTTAAAACAAAGCATTACCAAAGTAAGTGTCAAATCCTCTGCGAGTTGGAAGGCATTCTTTCCTGTACATCCCCAAATGCCACTTCCCCACCATRTGAGTAACATATCCTGCTTCTTGAAGTAGCTCTGGTAGGAGTTTCTCATCCAGTGGCAGACAGCTGGGCTGGCATGGCCAAATTATCTGGTGTTGTAAACCTGTATGAATCTAAGAGAGAAAAGAAGCGTTAGAGATGACTGAAAATGCAGTCCACAGGTTAATTTATAAGGGAGCCCAGAAGGAAGCACAGCTGTATAAGAGAGTAGCATTAGTCTTAAGGGCTCTTTATTTTACCATTGCARCACTCAAGATGATGAGGAAGCTGCAGGTGGAAGTCAGGGGTTGCATGGAGGAAAACAAGAAAACAGCRCTGCAAGAGTTAACGTCTTCCCAGGCATAAATCAAGCACAATTAAAAAACAAACAAAAACAAACCAACCCTAACAGAAATAAACCCAAAGCCTTTTATACTTTTAGTTAGAAATCTAATAGGTAAGAATCACCATTATGGTCTGTTTGAAGGCTAGGGTCATCTCAACTTGGAGCGAGAGATTTTGGGAAATGGGATTGAAATGGACAAAAATGCACATTGTTAGTGAAGCTATCAAGCTTTTGCTTGTATCAGAGAACAGTCACTGGAGGAAAGGCTGATAACAGAATACTATTTTTCTATTACTCTTCTAAATGGATATTATACATACACATTTATATATATATTTGCATCATTTAAATGAGTACAAAAACTATGAAAAGCATTTGAATATGGGGATGACACAAGTTTTACACTGCYTAGATCTGACACTTAATGGTTCTGCTTAAGTTTCCAATCTTTCCAATCTTAACTTTCCAATCTTCCAATCTTGCTGAATTACCTCTTTACAAAACCATTACCAACGATACTTGGAGAAATACATTGTGCTTGATGCAAGGAACCTCCTCAGCTGCTGCATATTGTAAGCTGACTTCTGTCCACTTCCCCATCTTCTCCATAATCAAAAAGGCATTACCCTAAACCTAGACCAGCACATTACCTATAAAAGTATAAATATCTTGGTTTTTTACTAAATATTTCTAGTAATCTGTGTGTGTCAAACCACAAAGCCTCCAAGGCCCCCTGGGGCAGAGGGCACCAGGTTTTCTGACTCCACTAAGCACACCAGCATTGCAAGCTGCATGACTAACTTTCAAAKCACTACTTTATCAACTCTCTGAACTGACTTTTAAACCAAATTAGCCCTGATCTTAGGCAACACAGTAAGGAAGGCTCTCTTCTAAATGACCTACTAGTTACTCATTTTCTTTGAACAAGGATGTTCCAAAAATTAAATTTTATATTATATATAAAAATATATTTTAAATATTTGAAAATGCTATATTACAGAAAACATTGTTTATATACAGAAGGACACAAACTAGCAAAACATTGTAATTTCTTGCACTGTATCTGGAAAATGAGAAAAATGAGGAAGTTAGAGCTATCTTACATCAACACCACTGCTTTTCTTTCATACAGACTGCAAGGTGATAYCAAAATTCTAGCTCCAGAGAGGACTAGATTAACTCACTTTCTCAAGTCTCTAAGTGAATCATAACCATGGGTAAAACAATTTTTTTTTAAATCCTGCATATTTGCTGCATAATTATTGCTCCTCTATTAAAAAGAGAAGTTTACTTTCCATTTTCAAATATTAATTTATTCAACAAAGTTGAGTAAAGTTGCAACAAGGTCAGCACAAAGATCATTAAATTATTAAGGCAGATATATGGCATGAATTTAAATCCAGATTGAACCATAGGCATTTTCAATGTCCAGTTTTAAAATGTGATGCAGCAATGGCCCATTTCTTGGAAAACATTCAGACTATGAACCGTATTTTAAAAGCAGAMACAATGAAAAAATATTTTAGGTTATTTCACAGAACAATTTAAAAAGCTGGTATAGATAAGGTAAAATGCTTCTTTCTATTAATTTTTATTGATTCCTGGAGTTTCTAGGAACAGGATAAATGTTGATTGGAAAGACTGTCACCTAGAACAACAACATTCCTGCAATAAGAGATAGCATCCACTAGCACAGATGACGTTTTCTATCACTCAGTGTAGTTACTCTGGCTAATCACATGGAGGCACAGGACTTCTTGAGAAAGAGGGGAAGCTTCTGAAACATGCTTAACCCTTTGAGAGTTTCTTCCTTCTGTCCATGCTGTATGTCCATACTTCCTTTCCTGCCATTCCCCGTCCCCCCATGATTTTGCCAAAATTGCAAAGAGGAAGGGAAAGGGTGGAAGTACACCTGTGCAACTGAGGAAAAGAAAAAAAAAAAAAAAAAAAAAAAAAAAAGTTAAAAGCAGGCTAATGACTGCGAAATAGCTGGAGACTACCACCCAGACTAAGGCTCACTCTGTGTGCACTCCATTGAGGAGCATGGAACACCTCCGGTACCAGGTGGAGGTGAGTGTACCGCTTGTTACGCATTTAAGCGCTGCACTGGAGAACAGGTTGCAAAAAACCGAACAAGCGGTGCTGATCTGCTTTCTGTCTGCTCTCGACCGTGTGCCTGTCCAGTGGAAAAATATCCGGGAGTCAGATGACTAGGGCAGGAATATCCTCCGCGACAGGCTGCCRTGACCTCGGCTTTTCTGGAACAGAACAGTTTGCACTGATTCCATGCTTAATTTACTCCGCGCTCGCGAGGTAAAGTGAAGTTTGCATTTCAGGGCAGCCGCTTTCCACAGCGCAGCGGCACAGAGAGGCAGGAAGCCCCAGCGACACGGGCACCGCCAGCAGCAAGCAGCGAGCACCCACAGCATCACCCGGCGCACCCCGGGCGGGGTCTGTGCCGCGGGTCCCAGTGCCCGCCCTACCTGGTAGCGGCCCGAGAGGAGCTGGCTGCGGGACGGCGTGCAGAGCGGCTGTGTGTAGTAGCGCTCCAGCCGCACGCCGCCCGCCCCCAGCGCGTCCAGCCGCGGCGTGCGGATGGCAGAGCCGTGCCAGCCCACGTCGCCCCAGCCCAGGTCGTCGGCCAGCACCAGCACCAGGTGCGGGGCGGAAGGGCGCGCTGCCGCCGGGCGCGGCGGGCACAGGGACAGGCACAGGGACAGGGACAGGCACAGCAGGCGGCTGAAGGACAGACACAGCCCCGGCGGCACAGCCGCCCGCCGCGCCATCCCCGCCACCAGGAACTGGGCCGCGGGCACCGCCCCGCAGCCGGGCCCGCCCGCCGACAGCACACGGGGCGGGGTCGGGGCAGGGCTCGGAGCCTCGGATCCTGCTCTGTCCCAGCTGCAGTGGCGGTGCGGGCATGTGCYGGGGTCGGAGCCGGGCAGCTGTACCCCAATGGGGTTTGAGATTAGTGTAAGGAAGAAATTGTGAAGGTGTTCCCGKTGTCGGCAGAATATTCGACTCACTGATGCTGACGGTCCCTCCTGATTTTGTCTTTCTTCGAGTACGTTAAACATCGGGTTTAAACCCGATGGTGGAGCCTTTCCCAGGAGAAYCAGGGAGCTATGTACGAGATTGTGTCTCAAGTCCTCCATGGTTTCGAGGAAGTCAGCACAACACCATGGGAACAGGACAGACCTTCTGGTAAATTCAACTGGACTTAATTCTGCCTTCAYAGCAGCTCTTCATCTGTAATACTGCCCACAGAGCTTATTCCATAAGCAGAATGTGTAAGCAGAGTGAGGCAGCTGCAACACACACATGGCCTCGCTGCTGGCCAATGTGCGGGATAGCCTGGGAAAAACAAGTTGCCGCCATCGCCGAAAGTGCAGCTGAGCTGAGCGAGACAGCGATTATTCACATTGGAGAAACGCTCCTGTCAGCATCAGCTGCTAGTGTGCACACGCACACGAGAGAGACCCATGTGTCTGCTATCCCCCTTCAGCCTCCATCCCCCTGCAAAATCATAAGCAACCTTGTGCTTTTTTTTTTTCCCCCTCTCCATTTTGTCCATTCGGATGAGAGGCCTAGATCGAGGCCTGGCTGTAAGATGGTGCTTATGACTGTTACAGTGTAGGAAGGAAGTGAAGTAACACAAAAGCAGAAATAGCAGCAATGTCACAGGTCTGTTTCTTCAAGTCATGTAATCTTCTAAAGCAATATTGGAAACAACCACTACTTTAGTTATAATCGTGATGTAAAATGTAAGACGGTGAAAAGACAGACATAGCTGTCAGCCCTGGTCCATTTTGTTCATCCATGAAATACACATATATTTCAGTGTCTAGTGAAAGATCAAAAATTCACACATTTTCCATTTAGCTGGAATGGTAAATATGTGTATTTCCAAATCTATACAGCCATTCGGTAMCAGGTGAAAGAAGGGTCCACAATAAAAGATTGTTTTTCTTGGTTAGAAAGCCAAATAATGAGTATACTAGACTCCTGACTATTTCCTGACAAATCTCTATAGAAAGAATGGTCCTGCTGCTATGAATGAAATCAAGTGGTTAAGCCTATGAAGCACCCAGGTTGGAAGTTTCTTCAATCCCAAGGATTTCCCTGCTGGTTTGAAAACAACAGCTATGATGAGTGATGTCAGCTTTTTTTTTCTACAATGAGAATGTACTACTGTCCTAAAGTCAGTTTTACCTCAAGTAGCTCTCAGGAACACTGACAAGCTGGTATGTGACTATGAGTAGTATTGTTTTTTAAATGTGATTCATACTGTTCAAAACGTGCAGAGTTCTGATTCATCTTGTTTCTCGTTCAGATCCCATGACCAATCGCAAATGTCTCACTGAACTGTTTCTTTTTCCAACTTCTTCCATGTTCTTATTATGGGTAAAGTTTCAATCAAATGTCAGCACATTCCCACAGAAACCCTATTTATTCTCCCATAATAAGTACTTTGAAAATCACTAGCACAGTGCTAGTGAAACCTGAAATTTTGCAACAAAATTCATAATTTCATACTTTCAAAGTTATCATGGTGTTCAAGTGTAGCTGAATTAATATTTCCTTGTAGAAAAGTGTCGAGAGTTAAGTAATGCCTATCCTACTCCACTAGAACTGGATAACCTGGTTGCCTGAYCAGAGTTAAAACATTAAATTGAACTATCTTAAATATACTGCAGACACTGCACCATCATGGTCACATTTTCTAGATATTTTTGTTTTATTGTTTATTATTAGCTGAGGGAATTGGAATCCCAAKCAGGAAAAAACTACTTCTCTCAGACAGTATTCTCTTGAATCAGAAGAATAAATCCAGGAAATAGTCTATGTTCGGTCTCCTCTGTTTCAGTTTATCTTTTTTGAGTTTGGGGTTGAATAATTTGGATGTTGTTTTGGGATTAGTGATTAGAGGTCATTAGAGTGACACACAAGATTCCAGTATCCATTTTCATGCAAAGCATGAACTGGACACTTTTTGCTATAGCACACGGAAAATTTGAACAAAAATTCAAATATTAATAGTATCATCTACTCTGGTGGGCAAAAACTCTGGAGATGGAAAAATATAGGAAAAAGACAAAAAAAAGTGTCTGAGAAAACTGCTTTTTGCCTATCCTGATTTGAGTATTTCAGAAGATTTCCGAGCTTACCAACTGTCATTTTTTCACCTCATTGCAGATGCGTCTCCTCTGTTAGCTAATGAGGTTGAGAAAGACTCTAAAGAAGTCTTTGTACACTGGTATTTCTGTTTGATTGGTTAGAAGTCCTCTTAGACTCAGATGTACTTCTTATACATCTTTGCTCCTATCCACTTCCTCTTGTCAACACAAATTTAGGCAACACCATATCTCAATCTGTAATGGAAAGAAGAAGTAACAGGAAACTATGAAAGCTGCTGAACTCATCCCCCACCTCATTTCTTCAGGCTTATGTACTTTCTTTTAAATAACCTTGAAAAATTGACTTATGTCTGTGAACCTCTACATGGGCATGATTTGTAAACTTTGTCTTGATGCTGTTTCATTTTTCTGTACTGTGGAGAATGCGATGTTGAGCTGTTCTGATGAATACTCAGTAAGCTGTCTTAGGTATCACAGTAAAAAAAAGCCAGGTCAACTAGGAAGCACTTTCAAACATGGTTATCACAGCTGCAGTGCTTCTAATTTGCAGTACCTGCAAGGCTATTTCAGTCCAACTCCTGTCCTTGCACAGGGCAACCCCAAGAATCACATTGTGTGCCTGAAACCATACTCCTTGAACTCTGACAGGTTTGATGTCATGACCATTTCCCTSAGTAACCTGCTCCAGTGTCCAAAAACCCTGTAGGTAAATATGTTGGTTTTGCTTTACCCAGTTTTGGTAGTAGCGGGGGCTAAAAAAAAGATGGCTCCTGTGAGAAGCTTCTGGAGGCTTCCAMCATGTCTGGTAGAGGCAATTTCTGTTGGCTCTGAGGATGATGGGCATGCCACTGACCAAACCTRGGCCAACTGGAGATGGTGGTTATAACTCTGTGAAAACATATTTAAGAAGAGATCAAAACAAAGG